TTTGCACATCAAAACAATTCCCAAGGCTGCTTTCACTAACCGTCTAATATTAACGCGTCAATTTTAATACAACATATTTATTTTTTATTCGTTAACGCAATCGCATATATAAAACAAAATTATTAAATAAATGTAAAACAGTTGCTCGTCGTAGTGATATATTATGCGCGGTGTGGTGTTGTGATGGGGACAGCGAAAGCTAGTCGTGAATGATTCGAAGATCAATCGAAAGTTGCACAGTCCCCCGCGCCGCTCTGCGTGCAGTCGAACGAAATGTTCCATGACAATTGGATGGACAATCGAATGGCATTGTTCTGCGCGCGGAGCGGTGAGGTGAGGGGGACAGCGAAAGTTAGACGGAGGCGATTCGAAAATCAACTGAAAGTTGCACTGTCCCCCTCACCACACTGCGTGCAGTTGAAATGCCCCATGACTGTCGAATGGCATTGTTCAACGCGCGGAGCGGTGAGGTGAGGGGAACAGCGAAAGCTAGACGAAGGCTATTCAAAAATCAGCCGAAGGTTGCATTTGCCCGCCCCTCTTCACCTCATCTCACCGCGTGCAGTCCAAGTGCTCCATGATGGTCGAATGGCATTGTACTGTGCGCGGTGCGATACGGTATATGGTAAGAGGGACTGCGAAAGCTGGACGAATATTCGAAAATCAACCGAAAGTTGCACCCCTCTCACCTCACCGCTCCGCTCGCAGTCCACATGCCCCATGACGATCGAGCGGTATAGACTAGCGCCACATTTGCCTCTTGCGATAGGAATGTCAGAAGGACATCGAATGGAATGTGGTCGATGATGACAATAATAACGACGACGACGATAATAACAATACTAATGACGACGACGTTTCTTAAAAATAAAACGTGAAAATTTACAGATTCGGACTTTGAGTCGTGATATCCTCGCTCGTAGGACACGTGGTGAAAAAATGAAAGCACTTTTATTATACAATTTAAGCAATTGCTATCGATTGAGCATATATAGAACTTGATCCGTTCAGCCGTTACTGAGATCTGATCATCTCAATCCCCCGAAACTCTCAGTTTCGCGTAAAGGAGGCACGGCAGTGCCGCAGCGCTTGGCTTAGCGCCGAGACACTACCGTGTCTCCAGATATATATAGAATCTCGATTTAATAACTAAAACTGGCGTCTAAGGTAGGATGGCTAACATTTCTAATGAATAAAAATCTATAAATTCTTATAGACGATAGAAATCATATTGAACCTTATTAATTTTTAATTGGACGAATTTATATTTTCTGTTGAAGCGATTCATTCCTATTACATTTTTGTCGGATTTAATCGTTTTCTATTGATTTCAATGGAAATTTTTAAGCAGGGATGTATTAGACCAACTAGCGCTCATCGATCAACAACACAAGCATACAAACAACGAGATGATATCGCGGATTATTTTCTAACGCTTAGTGATGAAGTTCCGTGGCAAAATGAGTACATAACTAGAGGTTTTAATGCTCCAGCTCCAGATTCCTATTAAGTAATTTTATTCCTTCGTGTATCTCTATAATTGAATCTCTGTAACTGAATCTTTTGTTATTTCATTCACGCAAGAAAAATTATAAGTCATAAGTTTTTTCAGTTTTTTTTTTAATATATGGCTATTTATCATAGAAGATATAAAATTTTATTATAAAAGATTATATTATATAAGATTATTAAGATAAAATTATTATAAGATATAAAAATTACGTAATATAATACAAATTGTATGAGAAACAATGCGAACAAATCTAAATTTATGTTAACGGTTTCCATAAAATTTCTGTAATTGCCTGCTTTCGTTTAGACTTTCGGTTCGGGTATTCTTTCTAATTCTGTTGCAACTAGCAGTCCAAAAATTATAAGTTTTATATTGAGGTGATGATAAAAACAGTGTTAATTTCTGCTTTTCTATAAAGGTGTTGAATTCAACCTTACGATGAAATCCTCAAAACATCTGTAATTTCCGAGTTCTCAAAATATCTGTAATCGTCCGTTTGGCTTTTAATTATATGCTTTCTTAGACTATTATTTTAAATCTAATGTAATATCACACATACTTAGAACATTAACTTGTAATTTTAAGTCTTAAAACTACAAGTAAATGTTCTAAGTACGTGTTACATTACATTATATTATATTTCCAGTTTGATATTTATTAGTACTTTTTGGAATATTTGTTTGGAAAGGAATACAATATATAATAAATAAAAAATTGTTAACAAAAATTAAACTTTTAAAATTATTTAAAAAAAACTGTACTACTTATTTTAAATATATGCTATTTATTATATAAGATATAAAATTTTATTATATAAGATTACATATTAAGATAAAATTATTATGTAAGATATAAAAATTACATAATATAATACAAGTTGTATGAGAAACAATGCGAACAAATCTAAATTTATGTTAACGGTTTCCATAAAATTTCTGTAATTACCTGCTTCCGTTTAGATTTTTCCGGTTCGGGTATTCTTTCTATTTCTGTTGCAACTAGCAGTCCAAAACTTTTATCAGCTGTTAAATCATGCAAGTTCAAAGTCATTTGTTGATTAGTTATGCGTTGTTGCAGACTATCACTTAGAGCTACAAGTGATTGTTCTAAGTAGGAGTTACTTTTATTTTTCTTATTTAAGTGTTACGTCCAAGCTCCGATTCCGGGAGGAGCTGCGGAAGGGCGCAACGAACTCTGTCCGATATTCGGTCACGCTCGATCCCCAAATTTCGAAAGGGGCAACGGAGGAGCGTCACCGAGTTCGGGCTCTCGCAGGTACACACCGTGGAGTGTCCTGCGAGTCGATCGTACCTTTAAATGCTCCGGAAAATGGGTCAGTGTCTCGAAAAGACACTATGACGTCTTTTTCCGAGAGCGGTCACGATCGTTGGTCCTTTAATTTAGGTCAGGGAACTTAATCCCTTTTACCTGGGAGTGGACCTGTGCGATCTAACGGGAATGGATGAGGGAATACGAGGAAGGGTTTAAGAAATTAAGTTAAAACGAGTTTTGCATTTTAAAATTAAACTTCTTATGCATTTATTAATGACTATAACAATATAAATAAGCATTACAATGAATACAAAATTTCAAATTAATAAAGTTACTGGTAAAAATAAGAATTACAAATTAATTAAATTTAAAATTTAAAATATTAATAAAATATGTCAAATCTTATGACTCTAAACATATGGCTAAAATTTTCAGAAAAAAATTAGGTTATGGGATGAAATTGTCGTACGATTTTTTTTCTGCCTTAAATTCATCAGTCGTCCTCCGATACTCGTAGAAAATACTTATTACTGATGTATTGTAGTGTCTTAAGATTGCAGAACTATTCTAACCACACTTCAAGGCCGTCTGAGAGTTTTGCGACTCTCTCAAGACCATTTTATGGCATTTTGAGTATTTTAAGAATGCCCCAAGGATATTTTGTAAATGTTTTAGAGTTTTAAGACTGCTTTAATGCTGAATAGTAATGTTAATCGAATTTTAGGGCTGTCTCAGAATTGTATTAGTGTGTTACGATTGTCTTAATCCTTTGCGTCATGGTGGGACGCTCAGCGTCCCACCTTTTATCCGTTGGTTTTTTCACCTTTATAAATCAGTTTCTCATGTTTTTTTCATCATGATTAATTTTCTACATAGCTGAGGCATTTATTTGTCGAATACAAGACATCATACATATTAACATACTATAGTTCATTAATTATAAACAATAATATACCAAAAAATGGCCATTTTTTGAAAAAGAAATCGTTTGTGAAAAATAATCACATACAATTCGCTTGAAAAACGCTACTCAGGGGTTTTTGGGGTCGCTGAATACGAATCTGATATCAGTTTTCAAAAAATTTAAAATGGCGGATCCAATATGGCGGACATGAAAATTGAAAATCGACTGAATTAGCTTGAAACGAGTAACTCGGGAGTTTTCGGTGTCGCCGATTGCGAATCTGATGTCAGTTTCTAAAAATTTAAAATGGCGGTTCCAATATGGCGGATATGAAAATTGAAAATCTACTGAATTCGCTTGAAAAAAGTTACTCGGGGGTTCGCAGGGTTGCTGAATACGAAAATGAAAATAGATTTTGGGATTCAAAACGATTGAATATAAGTGGAAGACACTTATATATGAGTGAAAATATCAGATTTGTAATCTATGACCCCGAAAACCCCCAAGTAACTCGTTTCAAGCAAATTCATCCATTTTTTAGAAAGTTGTCGGCCATATTGGATCCGCCATTTTGAATTTTTAAAAACTGACTTCATATTCGTAATTTGCGACCCCGAGAACCCCCGAGTAACTCCTTTCAAGCAAATTCATCCATTTTTAAAAAAGTCGTCCGCTATATTGTATCCGCCATTTTGAATTCCTGAAAAATGATATCTGATTCGTAATCAGCGACCCCAAAAACCCCTGAGTAACGAGTTTCAAGCGAATTCAGTGAATAGAAAAATGCGTGACTGAAAGGGTTAAGGCGATATTATGGATGTTTTAGTGTTTTAAGACTTCCATAATATTGCATAATTGTTTTAATCAGAGCGATGAACTATCTTAGGGTTATCTTGCTATCTTACCTGTGTCTGCAGGCTATCTTATGAGCCTTTTAGGGCTTTATGGCTACTTGATATATATTTTATGGCGATTTTTTGCCTTTTTAGGCGAGTTTTAATTTTTTTAGGCATGATGCCGGGTTCAAAAAATTCTGAAAAAATTCAGGGTGAAAATAAGTTTAAAAATACATGTTTTTGAATTTTTGCGAGGTTGCCAATCATAAACTAACAAAAGGGGGTCACTTATAAATTTTCAGGAATTTTTTAAAAATTATGGTTAGGTTAGAACATCTCGCAAAAAATATTTTCAAATACCTTTTGATACGTTTTGTATGCCCAAATTTTTTTAATAAAATTGTATCTGATAGTTCTCGTGACAAAAATAAAATATGAAAATACTTCATAAGGCAATATCTCCGAAAAGGGGTGGTGTACGGAATTAAAAATTTCTCCAAATTCTTTTTTCGGGTCAACGAACTTTTTGGTGACATACTGGTTATAATCCGTTTGGGGGCCGATTGACCCTCTTCTTAACCTGCTAGAGCCTTTCTGTAATTGTCTGCTTTCGTTTAGATTTTTCCGGTTCGGGTATTCTTTCTATTTCTGTTGCAACTAGCAGTCCAAAACTTTTATCAGCTGTTAAATCATGCAAGTTCAAAGTCATTTGTTGATTAGTTATGCGTTGTTGCAGACTATCACTTAGAGCTACAAGTGATTGTTCTAAGTAGGAGTTACTTTTATTTTTCTTATTTAAGCGACCAGTATTAATTAAACGATTTGCGGGAGACGGTGTAGAATTTCTTGATGTTGAACCTGTCGATATTGAATCTCTTGGTACTAAATCTCTTGGTACTAAATCTCTTGGTACTAAATCTCTTGGTACTAAATCTCTTGGTACTGAATCTCTTGGTACTGAATCATTTGATATTGAATCTGTTGATATTGAATCTCTTGGTACTGAATCTCTTGATGTTGAACCTCTCGATATTGAATCTCTTGGTACTGAATCTCTTGGTACTGAATCTCTTGGTACTGAATCTCTTGATACTGATTCTTGTAGTAGTGAATCTTCCCATACTTCTGTTATTGTTTCATTTGTGAAAGAAAATTCATTTGTTTCACATTGAGGTAATGATAAAAACAGTCCGTCAGGTTGCATTGTTTTTCCAGTTTGTGTATTATTTTTCTGAATATTTGACTGAAAAGAAATAAAGTTATTTTGCTTTTTGTGATTATATTAGTATATTATTATACACTAATTTTGTCTTCGGCTCGCGAAGTGTCACTTTCAGAGTATTTTTTAATTTTGAAAATGAATCTTTTTGTCTCTGTATTATTTTGAACAACCAAGTTACATGGATTATAAGTTAAACATATCATGTATAGCTATTTTTATTGAATCTTTTGATTGCTTTTACATTCAAGAAGTCATGTAACCACAAAAAGTATGTTAGAACTAAGATATGACTAAAATAACACTACAAGCCAAAGACCAAAAAAAATCAATTTTGTCGGATAGTGTTATTAAGAGTGTTTGTTACCTTGGATAAAGTCAAATTAGATAAATTTGAAGAGTTATTTGTGTCAACGTTTGAAAGTGTTTGACACGATGTTAAAATATTACTTGTGCTTATGTTGATATTACAAGAAGATGTATTTGATATATCCATCAATTGTTTTTTTGCAGCTGAACTAGGCACATTTGTATATGATCTACAAAACAATAATAATAATTATTATGTATTATTTATTATATTATACATAACTATTTATTAACAATTAATTATTATTATATTCTATATATACTTTATAATAACATTTTATATTACTTTTTATATTTGTGTGTGTGTGTGTGTGTGTGTGTGTGTGTGAGATATCAATTGAACTCACTTTCTCCGTTTTACATGGTTTTCCAAAAATAACATATTATTATATAGTAGAAATCCTGATCTGTGAGTGGCTCCACTACCACTTCGTGTTTCTGTCTCACGTAATCGTTTCTCCCTTGAAAACCGATCGCGCAAACGTATCCAACGATTTTGACAAATTTCAACTACATAAACAAACACATATTACATGTAAACATACTAAAACAGAACAAGAAATATAAGGTTCCACAGGAAAAAAAATCACAAAGTATAATTGCCAATCCGACTAGACTTGAATACTCTATTCTTCATTAAATAACCATAACCAAGAGGTTCGACTATGCTTTTCTGTTGTGTTCAATTGTGCTGTGGTGTGTCGTTGTTGGAAAGCATCGCGTCACTGTGTCGATGTGTGTCGCCCAAAAGACTTGATGGAAAGTACCCTAAGCTGCTGTGTTCAATCGTGCCGTGGCGTGTCATTGTTGGAAAGCGTGTCGAACATTTTTTAGCTATGAAAATGGCTTTAAAAGAAGTCGAAATGTCCAATTAATTAGTTATCTAGTAAAGAATTTAATTTACACACGAACATCAGTGTTGGCTCTGATTGGCAACAGTACTTGTGATAAACACATTTGTATTATCATGTTTATATAAAAATTTTCAAAATTAGAAAGAGAAAATCTTACTTGACAGATTTAATATTCCAGAAATTTCTCTCCATGAGTTCTGTTTCATTTGTGTGTCTTTAAAGTCTTTTAGAGACGGGTTGTATAAGTGCGGATAACTTCTCACTGCATCAATTAATAATTCATCAAATCCTTTTTCAAAATTTTCCATTTCGATTCCACATTTTTCAATGTTTTCAACATTTCCATTTTCATTATTATTATATATATCGTAATCAGCACAATATTGCGTATTGAAATTCATCTAGAAAATCAAATTGACGATTATTCAGGTTAAGCGAAATCTATCACAGAGCTGTGTGAAATAATGTAAAATTCTCTGTTTTAATTGCACAAATTCTCTTTATAATAATATAAATTAATACTTACGATACAAATTCACTGCTAATGCAAAGTACATTTGAAACGGTGAATTCTGAATTGTTGTTTTTATCCGTTTCGTATACGTATGCACACACGATCATCAAATCACTTGTATTGGTTAACCGTAAGAGGTAGAACGTAAGAATTTCATCCTTACGAAATTTTTTGATGTTACGTTCTTGCGGTTTAAAGCGGGGAGCACAGACTTTTGCATAACGCATGAAGCATGTGCATAAGGAATTTCATTGGTCCATTTTCTTATGCATGAGTCAATGGACCAATCAAATATACATAAAGAATTTGATTGGTCCATTGACTCATGCATAAGAAAATGGACCAATGAAATTCCTTATGCACATGCTTTATGCGTTATGCAAAAGTCTGTGCTCCCCGCTTTACGTACTAACATGGCCGCTTATGTTTTCAACTGTGATTGGTCAATTCGCTTACTGATTACGTTTACGGCCTTACGTTTTTCTATGTGTCATGGGCTTAAACGGCTAATAAACTATTTTGCCAATAAACTCTACTCGTAGAACAAAACCAAACACAGTTCGCGAATAATCAACGTGCTTTCTAGAGTCCCTATATTAAGAGTCTGGCCAAGGTTGTCATCCAGCCTATTGGTTTCGACAAAATATGGCAGAGCCAATGAAGTGTCTCGAATTTAATATCTTGGACGCGGTATCACTCAACTAGTAAGAATCATAGAAAGAATAAGAATAGAACAATAATGTAATAAAGCTGTTTTTAACAATTTTTTAATGTGAAAATACAAATATAATTTCAATTAATGTATTCATAAATAAATAATTATATCATTTAATAGCAGCATTATTATTAAACAGCACCAGTTTTATTCAGTTAGTAGGAACAGAACAATGAGATAATAAAGTTGTTTTTAACATTTTATTTAATGTAAAAATACAAATATAAATAAATTTTAATAGTATTCATAAGTAAACATATCCTCTAATTTTTACTTATAAATACATTACTTATAAAATACATTAAAATGATATAAGTAAATTATATCATAGCAGCATGCCTAGTCATAGTTTTACTACTATATGTATAATTCTTATTTTAATATATAAAGTAATCGTCCTTTGTTGCAATCAATTTTTATGCGAAATGTAATATACCGTTTCATTATTTTATCGAATAGTGCAGTACCACATCGATCACATCACGTTTTTGGTTATGTACGACGACGCCATGTTTTGTCGAACTAGACCAAAGAACTAGACCTTGGCCAGAAGTATAGGGACTCTAGTGCTTTCTAGCATCCACGGTGGATAATCCACCGCGCACGCGTATGGAGTATGCGCATTACAATCTACGATCTTCATTTCTCTAGAGACCTAGAAAACAGAGATGCGTTATTGAAAGGTATGGCTTGATTGGCTGTCTAAATCACGTGATCAGAGAGCCATTTTAATTTACTATTGCATCTAATAGATATAGTTTTATAACGTATGCATATATGTAATACTACTATATGGCTAGTACCTATAAGAGGGAGTGAGAGGAAGCGGTCCCAGAACCACGGTGCGGGAATATATATTTCCCTCTCTTTCTAAGATTACTTTGAGTGTTGTGCGCATACGTTGGATTGATCGCATCCGCCAATAGGAAAATAGAGTGCGATCAGTGAGATGACGCGAACGGGTTAAGGTGCTTTTTCATGCGCAGCACGCTGCAGCAGCAATTCGTTACTATTGGTTAAGAATTTTATGTAAGCTAGATGACGCACTTCCGGCGCAAAATACATTTTGCCGCAGTTCGTTGAAGTTGAACCGAACGAACAGCAAGCAGCAAGTGGCAAAATCGAGGCAATATTATTTATTGCAATAAATATTAGGAAAATAAACGAAGAATGGCTTCGGATAAGGTACGAATGTTTGTAAATTAGATTATTTTATACTTTACACTTTACTTTTTCAAATTTGTGGTAAAGTATAAAATGATCTAATTTACAAACATGTATCCGTACCTTATCCGAAGCCATTTTTCGTTTATTTTCCTAATATTTATTGCAATAAATAATATTTTCATAATGAAACGACGGACATATTGTACGCTTTCTCGATTTTGCCGCTTGCTGCTTGCTGTTCGTTCGGTTCAACTTCAACGAACTGCGGCAAAATGTATTTTGCGCCGGAAGTGCGTCATCTAGCTTACATAAAATTCTTAACCAATAGTAACGAATTGCGGCTCTGGTTGAATCCATACTGAGAACGGGCCCTTATTATCCTTTAGGTATTCCTTAATTAGAGGGATGTACTCTATCTTAGGTTTAGTTGGAGACGAGGACTCCTGCGAAGAGGTAAGTGTATTTTTTTTAATCGGATTTTCTGTATCGTACATAGATTTCCTCTTGTTGTTGACAGCCGGAGACCATTCCATATCGTCTTTGTGTGATTCATTGTCAGGCGGTTCCATTATAAACGTAGGATTGACCTTACCCCCGACTTTGCGGGGGTGAAGGGCTGCAGTTTCTATTGACATGTGCTGCACTTTTAGGTTAGCTTCGGTAGTAGGAACAGATCACCGTCCAAAATTACTCTGGACTGTAAAGTATGTGGGCGCACAAATAGGGGGATAATTAATCTCTCTCTCTAAGAGCAAAACGAATTACCCCGGGCACAAGAACCCTAATTCGAATCCTCGATCAAAGGCGCGTCGTACTCCCTCAATCAGTCCAACGGAATCCCTTGTTTAACCTACACTCTACAGGATAAACAACGACATCTATTGTATAGGCCGCAGCCTAAATGCACGGTGTAAACATAGGCCCGTATTCAGAACGCACTTTTATCGATAAAAGCGCGCTTTTATCTCTGAAATTCTATAGTATACGTGACGTAAACTGTAGCATGTTAGCGCGCTAACATCGTTGTTAGCGCGTTCTGAATACGGGCCATAATCTCTGTCATCTATTACCTCGTGTCTCGCCATCTATTATGCGTAATATTGCCAAATATTGTTAATGCATTCCTACGTATTGCTATGTATTGCTGTGTATTGCTATATATTGCTCGGTATTGCTATGTATTGCTAGCATATTCTTACTATTGCTAGTATTGCTAGCAGTACCTGTTTTATTACTCTATTGCCGCAATATATTTCTAAAAAAAATGTACAGTGATTTCCATAGTGGTTGACCCCTCGGTTATTACATTGTGAAAATGAACCGAAAATTTTAGGAAATGGAAAAGTCACGAGTTTATACCTATATATTATTTTATCGTGTAAAAAAAATGCAAAATTAAAAAAAAATTAATTCGAAAAAAATAGAAGGAAAAAATTGCCCACGATCAAATTAGTCTTAAAAATTATCAAATAAATCTAAGTTTTTAAATATCTTACAACCTCTACAGAAAATATCGATGTAAGTATAAATAATGGTAAATATCTAGAAAAGGGGAGCCCCCTCCGATGATCTTGACCTTGACATATGTTGTCAAGGTCATGACCCTGAGTAACCTCCCGCAGGTTTTAGGTGGCGGTCACTGTCCGTTATAAAGTTATTAACAAAAAAAATTTTAAAATTAACGTACCATTTTTCGGAAATTATACATATTAACGTATCATTTCTGCCATATATGTACTATAACAAGTACTATTTTACATCTCCTTCTGTTTAGAAACGTTAAACTTTCCACGCGAAGTAACTCTCACCTCCCCCAACCCCCTGCGAAGGGGCATACGACTTCTACGATTGTACTGTTGCTATGATTGTACTATCGGGGCAGACCTCTGTCGACGGTGTGGGTGCGGGGGGGTGGCCGAAGGCCACCTCCTTGCACCCACCCGTGTGTGTGTGTGTATGTGTGTGTGTGAAATATCAAGTAATAGACTCATAATCGTTATACAAGGTGTCCGGTCAGACCTTTCTAATCGCATACAGGAAGGTAGATGGGATCGAAATAAACATAAAAGTCCTTTACCGTTTAGCGAAATTCGTAATAATAATAATCGAGATATTAATATTTGAATTTGTACTAATGAGAGCGCTCCGATAGAAACGCTCTGGCCACCCCCATAAATAATTATTAATCAGTTTATTACAGGTAGGTTATGTGTATTGTATATTTCTTCAAATTCTTATAAGTTAAGTTGTGAGGAATCAATATTGGACTGAAAATTTTTCATATGAATATAGTATTTATTTAAAACAATTATTGTTACAAATATATTTAAGTATTTTGTTATTCACATAACGACACACATAACCTAACTGTAATAAACTAATTAATAATTATTTATACTTACATTGACATTTTCTGTATCACTTTGGTTACATTCCATATCATCCATATAAATATTCGTAATCTTTTGGTAATAGTCTTGTTCTTGTGACATATTGAATTATTATATATGTTGAGGTAGAAGCACAGTATAACCATACACAGTAGCGACACTAGCCGGTTTGACCTTGACCAAATTTCAGTACGCATGCGTGAATTTGTACATTTAACAATATGGATGCGTCCAGAGTACACGTATTTCAGGTAACCTCAATTTACAGTTTCATGACATGCATGTTCTTCGTGTGACTTTCGTTTCTTAAAATTAATAATAATAATAAATTGTTCCTTATTTTATTAGAAGAGAATGATATAATCACCATTAAAATGAAGCGAGGTGGATATAGTTGTACCATGAATAATTGTTCAAATATTTCTGGACGGGAACGTAATATCAGTTTTTTTTATTTTCCAAAAGATCCAGATAGGTAAAAATATTTTTTGTTATCAAGTTTATTGTTAATTAAATTAAATA